TTTACTGATTTATTTATTCACATTGACATCGTACGTTTATTTATTGATCATAATTTTTGAACAAATGCTCTACATTATTGTTAATGAAAAATGCAAATAATTTGATACTGTGCTCGAGCCTGTATTTTCCATTCATCATTAAATCCTTTTTCCTATATCTATGCATATTTTTAATGGTTATTGACAATAGTTATCAACAACGATTATTTCTAAGGGTCATGATAGTGGTTATTGATGATGGTTATTAATAATGGTTCTTCTTTAATCACAGCTTTATCTTCCTTTTTGTTAACCATTACGAAAAGGATTCTAGGTGAAGGTATATTGAACAAGGATTGTAAGAAGTCAGTGATTTACGACTTTAGGCTATATGTTCACAGCGGCACTAGACTAACCATTTAGCAATATAAATGATCATTAAGTTATATGGAACTCCAGATCCATAGAAAGACATAGCAGCATATTCTAAAAGCCATAATCTCCACTCACTGAACTTTAACTTAATTGATCATATTTAGGCTTTTTATACCCCGCGATGTCAAATTAGAATCTGAGATATACTTTCACATATACAGAGAGAAAGAGACAGAAAAATATCTTTATATCCGGATTTGGTATTCACTAAATATTCTGATTCGCAAAGATTTGAAAGGAGAGTTCACTGTTGCCACTGAAGCCCCGAAAATTGCAATTGAAACCTTGGTTCGCAATATAACATTTATTGGAAACAGATATCATGAACCAATTGATTTGCGTTCAAAATTTCAATTATATTTAGAGTTGGTTTACGCAAAATAAGATAAATGATAGTAATGATAACAATAATTATGATACTGATAATGAGGATGATGATAATAATAATAATAATGATGATAATACTGATAATTATAATAATTATGGCAATGATAATACTAATAATGATAATAATGACAATGATCATAACAATGATGATAATGATAATGATAATAATAATAATAAAGAAAGATAATGATAACAATAATTATGATTACTGATAATGAATGATAATAAATAATAATGATGATAATAACAATGATAAAAACATAATATGATAATGGCAATAAACAATAATGATAATAATATAATGATAATAATAATAACATAATGATAATAATAATAATAACAATAATAATAATAATATATGATAATAATAATAAGATATCGCATCAATGATAAATGAAAATACTGAAAATGATAATGATAATAATGATAACGATAATCATGGTTTACTGCCTACCATTTTCTTGTGAATGGTATGGAGTCATATGGAAATATTTTGGTGCGTAATTAGGGAAGGTAATAATACTAATTGCATTGCAGATACGATATTGCATGACTGTTCTCGGCGAAAATGCATGAAAGTTCGCGTTGATAACTTTGGATAGTACGCTGTTTTAATTTTATTTTATTTATTTATCTATTTATTTATTTAATGTTTAAAGTTAAAGCAGAAGTAATGAATTTTTTTTTTTTTTTTTTTTTGATGATTCCTGTTGTCTACTTCAACAAAAAGTTTGGTGTATTAAGGTATTGCAGCGTGACTATTAAATGTTTCATGTAAAATGGGACGCATCGAGAGAGAGAGAGAGAGAGAGAGAGAGAGAGAGAGAGAGAGAGAGAGAGAGAGAGAGAGAGAGAGAGAGAGAGAGAGAGAGAGAGAGAGAGAGAGAGAGAGAGAGAGAGAGAGAGAGAGAGAGAGAGAGAGAGAGAGAGAGAGAGAGAGAGAGAGAGAGGGAAGGAGAGAGAAGAGAGAAGAGAGAGAGAGAGAGAGAGGAAGAGAGGGGGGGGAAGAAAAGGAGAGAGAGGAAGGCAGAAGGAGAGAGGAGCGGGAAGAGAGGAGCGGAGAGTAGAGATGAGAGCGAGAGAGAGAGGGAGAAAGGGGAGGGAGAGGGAGAGAGAGAGGGAGAAGGGGAGGGCAGAGCGGAGAGGAGAGGGAGAGGGAGAGGGGGAGGAGGAGGAGGAGGAGAGGGAGAGAGGGAGGGAGAGAGGGGAAGGGAAGAGAGGGAGAGAGAGGGGAAAGAGAAGAGAGAGAGAGAGGGAGAAGGAGAGGAGAGGAGGGAGGGAGTTTCGGGGAGAGGGAGCCGTGGGGAGAGGGAGAGGAGAGTGGAGAGGGAGAGGTTAGGGTGGAGAATGGCCGTAGAGGTTGAGAGGGTGATAGAGGAAGCAGGGAGAGGCGGGAGCGGAGAGGGAGGAAGCGAGGAGAGAGAGGATGAGAGTTGAGGGAGGGAGAGGGTAGACAGAGGGGAGAGGGAGGGAAGAGATGTGGAGGGGGAGAGATACTGTGAGGAGAGAGAGAGGGAAGAGAGAGGAGGGAGGAGATGAGAGGGTAGAGAGAGCGAGAGGGAGAGAGAGAAGAGAGAGAGAGAGAGAGAGAGAGAGAGAAGAGAGAGTTAGAGAGAGAGGGAGAGGATAGGAGGAGAGAGATGGAGAGAGAGCGCAGAGAGAGAGGAGAGAGAGAGAGGAGAGAGAGGAGAATGGGAGAAGGGAGAGGGAGCTGGGAGATGGATGGAGGAAGGAGGGGAATCAGGGGAAGGAGGGAGAGGGAGAGGGAGAGGGAGAGGGAGAGGGAGAGAGGAGAGAGAGACCGCAGAGAGAGAGAGAGAGAGAGAGAGAGAGAGAGAGAGAGAGAGAGAGAGAGAGAGAGAGAGAGAGAGAAAGAGAGAGAGAGAGGAAAGAGAGAGAGACGAGAGACAGGAGAGAGAAAGAGAGAGAGAGAGAGACGAGAGAGAGAATGAAGGAGAGAGAGAGAGAGAGCATTCTGTTTCAAGATTTTTCTTTTCTTTCCTGTCTTTCAATATTATCATTATTATTTTTATTATTATTATTAATTCATTATTCTTTACTGAAGTGGTTATTGTTCATTACTGATGTTTTTTGTTCATTTCTTCTTACTTATGGGGATATCATGTATTATTGTTATTATTGGTAATTCATTATTACGATTACTATATTGTTGGTGGTGCTGGTGTTGCTTTAATTATTAATTATTGCTCTTATTATTAATCATTTACTATTATTGTTTGTCACCATCACCATCATCATCATTACACCATAACCACCTCCACCATCATCACCTTGTCACCGCAATCAAAATCACCAACTACCACACCGACACGAACACCAGCACCATCATCATCATATCATCATCAATCATCAATCATCATCATCATCATCAAACCACCACCACCACCGATCATCATTCTATCACATCATCATATCATCATCATCATCATGCATCACCACCACCACAACCATCAATCATAAATCATCATCATCATCATCATCATCATCCAATCAATCATCACACGCGCACACGACCACCACCATCAATACATCATCATCATTCATCATCCCAGATCATCATCATCAATCATCCATCATCACCGACCACCATGTTGCACCTACCGACCATCATCATAAATCATATATCATCATTCATCATCATCATCAATCGTCATTTATCATCATCATCACCACTACCACCATCATCATATCATCATCATCATCACATCATCATGCAATCACGTGCGACCTATTCATCATCATTTTTATCATCATCATCCATCATGCATCACCACCACCATCATCAAATCAATTATCATCATCATCATCATCATCAATCATCACGCACCATCATCATCACCAACTAAGTCATTCTTCATCATCATCATGCATCACCACCACCAATCATCATCATCAATTATGACCATCATCATCATCAATGCAATCACCACACCAACCAACTCAAGTATACGATCAATCATCATCATCATCATCGTCGTCGTCATCATCATCAATCACACCATCATCCATCAAATCGTCATCATCATACATGCATCATTATCATCTATCATTCATCATTATCATCATCGGTCCATCATCATCATCATCATAATTATCATTATCACCGATCACCACCACCACCATCATTCTTCAATCATCAATCATCACCGTCAGCCATCATCAATCATTATTCAACCGATCACAATCACCATTCACCCACACCACTACCAACCACGGGCGACCACAGTCATCATCGCCATGGCATTCATCATCCCATCAATCATCACCATGCAGCCACACTATCATCATCATACATCATTATCATCATCATTACCAATGCCTCATTATATCATTATTACCGATCATCATTATCACCACACCACCACGTACTTTCTGTATATTCCTTGGATATATATTCAAAGAATAATAACGATCCATAAGTCATTCGGAGAAGAAATATTTTTTTCTTCATTTTCTCTCCAAATAATCATATATATTATGCCTAAATTTAAAAAAAATGCATTTCGGAAAGTCATACGTGTACTGACGTTAAAAAAAAAGAGATACATGTTCATTTTTACTTCGAGCATGATATTGAAAAAGACGCGGGAGTGTGTCATAAAAAAAGGG